TCTACACTACCACCGAGTTCTGTCGACATAACGTTGACAGAACTCATCAGTTTTGTCAACGGCGGTAAACCTCATTCTGTCGACAGAAGGCGTTATTGCATCTACACTGTCCTTTGCATCTATACTCTCATGTCGACAAAGCGGCTTGCTTTGTCAACAGAACTGGATGTCCTCTAGACGCTCTTTGTCGACAGAAGCTTTATCGACAGTATCTGTCAACAAAGCCTCTGTTGACAAAAGCCTGTAGTCTAGATATAACCTAACAGGCTGGAAAACTCCACACTTGACTTCGTTTCTGCTCAACAGGTTTCTGTCTATCTGTGTCCGTCTGTCTGTTTTTTTTGATGAACATGAGAATGGCCACACTGGGTCAGACCAAAGGTCTATCCAGCTCAGTGTCCTGTCTTCTGACAGTGGCCAATGCCAGGTGCCCCAGAGGGAGTGAACAGAACAGGGAATCAAATGATCTCTCTCCTGTCACCCATTCTCAGCCTCTGACAAACAGAGGTGAGGGATATCACTCCTACCCATTGTGGCTAATAGTCATTGATGGACTTAACCTCCATTAATTTCTGTAGTTCTTTTTTTAACCATGTTCAAGTCCTGGTCTTCACAAGATCCTCTGGCAAGGAGTTCCACAGGTTGACTGTGCACTGCATGAAGAAATCCTGTATTTTGTTTGTTTTAAACCCACTACCTAGTCATTTCATTTGGTGACCCCTAGATCTTATGTTACAGGAATAAGTGTATAAGAGAAAAACCCCTCTGTTCTTTTTATTTTCTTGCAGAAAAACACAATTGTAGGGTGGACATTCCTCAAGTTTTGTAAGAAAAACAGCTGTTTTTCCTGACAAAACTCTGTGGTGTAGACATACCCCACAAAAGCTTATGCCCAAATAAATCGGTTAGTCTTACAGGTGCCACAGGACTCCTTATTTTTTTAGTAGTTAAATTACCAGAGTTGGCTACTCCCCCCAATTTTATCCTTACAAAAATGTGTTTGGAATGTTCTGATGTTTAACAGGGGGGAGGAGTACTGAAACAAAAAAGAACATGAAATTTCTACTTCAAGATGAAATTTTGAGTTCAACAGAATTTCTGAATATTAAAAACTTGACATTTTTACTTTTGCCACTTTCTATACTTTTTCTTTCAGTGAAGTCAACAGAATGATATTTAGGAACTTTCTCTTCTCCCTGAGATTTTTTTCCCCCACTCTTAACTTCAATATGTATTCAACTTTGGAGAAGTTACAAAGCAGAAGAGGGAAAAATGAAACTTGGCCCCTCTGAACTCTTTAACAATGACTCAACTTTTGAAAAGTTGCAGATTAGCCACTTTAATTTTTCTAACTTTTCAAAAAATGTAGACCATTTAAAAAAGTTAGCGAGAAAAGAGGGGAAAAACATACAAGCGTTTTTTTTCCTCATGGGTTTTTCACTTAACCATCTTTTCTATTGTCTTCAGTAGTGGTGAAATAGAGGGCAAGGAAATTCCAAAAATCAAAATATCAAAATTTTGCAATTTTTCAAGTTGGAATTTTTTTTTCAAAAACCCAAACAAAAAAAATTAAACTTGATATGAAATAAAACTCTCTTTTCATTTTGTTTTAATATTTTCCTGTGAAATTTTACAAAACTTACTTTCACATAATGTTTTCTTATGGAAAAACTTTTGTTTTCAGTGAAACTCTATTCTTCAGGAGGATTTATTTTTCAGTACAGAAGTTTTAACTAGCTCTGTAAATTATACCTTGCATGGTGAAATATCTAGGAGTTCACTAGCCTTGGTTTTCTTTGTCACTTTACATAAACCTTAGCTAGCGTTTAAACATGGATTAATAATACAAGGAAACTTTCAAAATTCCTCAGAAAGCCTGACTCTGCCTATTCCTATGTATGCTGAGATACTACCCATGAAATCAATGTGCCTGGCTGCATGATGATGAATTATTTAATAGGAGGAGGGGGTGGCAGAACTGAATTGAACCCAGCCGTTAATTGGAGGAATTTGTCCATGTCCTGTGTAATGTTTGTTATGTGTGTGAATTTCTTGTTCTTCCATGCTTGTTTTGTGAAGCAACCAACGTTTGTGGCTGCCTTCCCTGTACATATATGTCCAACTCCTCATTCAATGGTAAATTCTTGTTGTTCATAGCTCCCAGATAAGAGTGAGTGAGTGAGTGAGTGAGTGAGTGAGTGAGTGAGTGTGTGTGTGTGTGTGTGTACACAAAATGGCCCCATTCATCTTTACAGACATTTGGCTATTGTGGATGCGAGGTCACAGTTGGGTGTTGCATCTTTTTTAATGACTAAAAGCCAATTCCGGACAAACAGCTTGAATCACATGCAGCACAATTAAAAGTGCGTTCCTATTGTCAGTGGCGAGTCACTCTCTGTTTACTCTTTTTGTTTTGAGTGGAGAGAGCTGCTCTTTACCATGTTCTGCGATGCCTGCCTCTAGAGCGGATCGCTAACTCGAGCAATCTCTCACTTGGGATGCCCGCATCTGCAGCTCAGTACCGAAGCATTTTAGAGCTCTCTTGTGGCCATCTTGAAACCTAAGTTCTGGGAGTCCTCTCTGTCTTGGCCCTGCCTTTAACCCACCATAGACGAGGTCTTTGGGAAGTCTGCCATCATGCAGCCGGTGCACGTGAGGTAACCAGTGAAGATGGTTGTGCTTAGTAATAGTTGTTCGACTGGAGACTTGGGCCCTCATTAGCATTTCTTCATTGGTAATTTTATATTGCTGGTATAGGTTGGCACATCAGCTGGGCAGGGAGGAGGCACATGACCCCCGCCCTGCCCTAGCCCCGGACTCCCATTCTTGCTCCATCTCCTGCCCTTCCCTTCCTACATTTCCTGGGGGAGAGGGTTTTGGGGCAGCCAGCCAGAGGAGCTGCTGAGGTACAGAAATGCCAGCTCTCTCCCTTTCTACAGAGCTGCTGTTTCTCTGTGTACAGGGCTGGGGGGAGGGC